CCATAAAGAGGAATGGATGACAAAACCCTCAACAGAAGGTGTTATAAAGGCAAACACTGAATATGTATTAATTAAAACCATTGTTGAAGAATACAGCACTGATGGCCATCTTGTGGTGAATTGTATAGGATGGAATGGTAAATAATTTCTTTTTTTCATTTTATGTGATACAGGACGGCAATTTGAAATTATTTTTTAGATCCATATCATCAAATTTCGAAGCATCGTTTAATATACTTTATTACTGCTTCTATTTATTCAAATCATTAAGTTATTTAAAAATGGATAAAAAATAAATCGTGATTTTATATATGGTAAAAAATACAAATTTCAAATAATCATTTAATTTTTATTAATTAAGAAAACGTTTCATATTTTTTTCTTTTTGTATCCATTCCATAACAAATACAGCAGTCAAACCAATCGTTATGCAGCAGAGAAATTGTATAATCGTTGACGATTCGATGGTTGAAGCAGAAGTAAAACCTACGCTTCTCCGAATAAAAGAAGAATTAGCACAAGAAATGCAAGAACAGATGGACGAAAGAGGATTGGATGATACATTCGAAGATGACTCATTTGATGAATCGCACAGTAAGTGAAATTTTGTAATTCATTTAATCACCACTACCACCATTTTATAGAGAATGAAGAATATAATCGATACCATTATTTTTATTATTGTTATTATTATTTTGATCATCATCATCGTCATCATCATCATCGTCATCATCATCATCGTCAGCATCATCATCATCATTATCATACTGCCCTGTCATGAAGACTCACTCAACTGCGTTTAACAAAGTTCTGAGATAATCAACAAAACGTGTTATTGTCTTCGCTCTCTTAATGCGTAAATAATTGTATCTTTATTTTTACACAATTATAGAGGTTTCATAGTACTATTCATATAGTGCCCTTATATAGTGTCCTATAATGGTACATTGTGACTTCCTTTTTATTTTACAGTCCTTTCGACTGTAAAATTTTCTTATGTATTTTATGATGCCGCCGCCACCACTGTCACTGTTCGCATATTTTGAAACAAATTTGAATCTAAATAAATTTGCTTCAGCTGTATATAATATAATAATATAATATATTATTTTGAATATTATTATTATATGTCGTCTTTGTACAGAAAACGATTAATTTAGGATTT